CCTCTCCCCTGTCCCTCCGCTCGATGCCGGCTGGCGGAAGAAGAGGCCCAGAGACAGGAAGTGACTGCCCACCATCACACAGCCAACAGGCCCTCGGTGTGGGCAGGCCGGTGGCCACTCTGTGTGGGGAGGGAGCTGAGGCCCTCCCTGGGGTCCCGCAGCCAGGAGAGGGATGCCCACCAAGGGCTCCTCAGGCCAGTGGTGTAGCCACTCGTCCAGGCAAGCATCCTGGGCCAAGGCCTGGAAGGGACAAAACCGTGCAGGGACCCTGGGCCCTGCCAAGCTCTCCACCCACACTGTGCCCCGCTATCCCTCAGGAAGCTCGCTCCTGCCCCAGGGCCTCTGCACAGGCTCAAAGGCCATCTCCCAGCCTCAGGATCCAAGCCTCCTCCCTACAGTCCGAGGTGGAGGCACAGTGGTAAGCGATTAGTGGTGGGAAAACTTGAAGCACCTGCCCAGCACACAGTAGGAGCTCAGGAAAGGCAGCCACACTGCCAGCACAGACTTCGATAGGAATCTCACGCCACCGTTACCACTGGGAATTATTGTGAAGCAGACTTGCTTTCACAGGACTGGGAACCAGCCTGAATTTTTATGCCAGTAGCATCCTTTTGTAAACCCTGGATGGGGAGCCCTCTTGATTCTCCCTCCTACACCCAAGGAGGGCAGAGACCCCCTGCAAAGGATCTGCCTCAGTGTCCCTATCTGCAAAGAGGGCTCTTTGCTCAGGGCTGTGCAGAGGTGGAGTGGGCAGGGCTCAGAGGGGGAGGTCCCTGTGCAGCCTGCAGAACTAGAGACCCTCATGGTGGAGGGGAAAGCCAGGTGAGGGGACGGCACGGTGCCCTTTACACGGCTCCAGGTGCCACAGTGTGGCCTGGCCCTGCTGCCCTGCCAAACTTTGAGGCCGCTCCCCTGCATTCGGCCCCCTGCTCCAGCCATCCTCAGATGGCACCCCACCTTGTCGCCACCTCAGGGCCTTTGCACAGCAAACTCCTTCTCTCGCACAGCTCCTCCTCCTGGGATCCAGGAACTGTCCTGCCTGGACTTGAACCCCAGTTCCACCAGCTGCGAGACTGCATGCCTCAGTTTCCCCATTGGTAAGATAAAGACAGTGCTAGGACCTTCCACAGAGGACAGTAGCGAGCGTGAACGCACCAGTACAGGGCTGGTGTCGGCACAGGTCCTGGCACACCGGCCGCTTACGTAGTTTAGGATGATGCTGACGTCCCTGTACTGCAGCGCGCTGACCACTCACTTCTCGGGGCGGTTGCTGTTCCCTAGGCCAGGAGCCCCAGTGCCACCCCGCCCCGGCCACAGCAGAGCTGAGCTCAGGCTTCCACCGACCGCGGAGCCTGGTTCCCGGCCCTCCCCTGCCCCCTGGTGGTCACTCTCGGTATTTCCCCCAGGCACCAAGAGGGACCCTTTCCTGCTCATTTTGGGACTGGCTCCTCCCCAGGCTCCAGGCACCCAAGGGGCGGCTGTGCCCACAGTGCTGAGCTCCCACCTGCACGGACGCAATGGGAACGTGTGCCTACCGGGCATAGGGCCAGGGTGGAGGGCCCCCCCGGGGGAGGGAATGTTCAGGGACCGGCTCCCAGGGGAAAGGAGCCCTGGGGGAGGACAGAGTCCCAGAGGGACACCTGCTGCCTCAGGGCCTTTGCTCATGTTGCTAAAGACATTTTATTCCCCCCAGGCGCTCCAGGGAACCTCTCAGAAGCCCCTTCTACCTGGCGTGTGAGCGGCGAGGGAGTTGGCAATGGGGCTGGTCCCGGCGCTGGCAAGGCCTGGGCTCTCCTCCAGGTGGGGAGCGGGCCCCTCCTCTGAACTCGGTGACCTCCTTGGTAAAGTGGGCTTCTTGTGGGCCTCGACGATGGCTCCGGAAGGTTCTCAGCACAGCGCCTGGCACACAGCAGGTGTTTGCGACCACGGAATCCAGCTGAACCTTGACAGCCGAGGTCGGAAGCAGTGTGTGCATTTACACGTGCTGGGGGCACCGGACGCCAGCCCCCGTGCCGGTCAGATGGACCAGGCCCACTGCAGTAACACACGGCTCCAAAGAGGTCTGGTGTGCAACTTGGTGTTTGCTCTTGCAAAGTCCACGGCGGTCAGGTGGCTCTCTCCAGAGCGGCCCTGCTCAGGGCGGGGACTGCAGGACCGCAGCCGCTGGCCTCCTGTGGTTCCCCCGGCCGGTGCTCCTCTCACGCAGCCCGCACACTGCCAGGCCGCTGGGAAATGGCGAGCTAGGGCCTCGTGTCAGGACGCCCGTGAGCGCGGCCGCTGGACGGGGCTCTGGAGGAGCGAGAGGGACCGCCCAACCTCGTGGCCGTCCGCGTGCCACGGACCTGGCGTGGCCATGGCTCTGGGGGTGGGGCCTCAGACCTCGAGCCCATGTGGCTGTCCCGCGTGGTGGCATCAGAAAGCCCCGGCAGCCGGCGGTGAAACCTGGGAGGAAGGAAGCGTTGCGGCGGGAAAGCCAGGCCCTCTGTAGGAAGGGACTAAGCAGCATCCCTGGGGGCCCCGTGGATGGGCTGGCCGGGCCCCTAGAGCTCTCTCTCCAGGCCTGCGCTGTGAGGAGGGTGGGCCATCAGGTGAGGGGCTGGTTTGCAGGCTGTGCTGGGCGCTCACTCGGGACCCCCCTCCCACTTTACTGTCTGGGGCTGTCAGCTTCCCATGGAGAAGGGAGAAGACCCCGCAGGTCACGGCAGCTCCCGGCGCCCACCGCCCTGGCACGGGCACACCCAGCCAGGGACCATGTGGGGACCTCACATAGGCGGCTGTGGCCCCAGTGAGGGCAAAGGGTTCCCTGGGTGCAGCCCAGGTCAGGGCCTGGGGCCCAGGGGATGCTGAGTGGCACCTGGGAGCCTCTCCCCAGGCCCTGGGCCTCAGCCCCCAGCCCCCAGACAACCCCTGAAGGTCCAATCTCGACAGCCACACGAAGCTGGGGGACCCAGCAGTAGCCAGATGGCCCAACCTCCAGGATGTGGACCCAGGCACATGGGGGCTGTGGGGTGACAGTGTAGGGGCCCCCGGAGGGGCCACAGGGCAAATTCTGGCTGGATCTGGGCCGGGATGAGACAGCAGCAAGCAGGGTGAGCGCCCAGGCCAGGGGTGTGCAGAGGTTACCACATCGTGTGGGATCCAGCAGAGGGGTCTTAGGTGGTCGGGTGCTCTGGGAGAATGCCACGTCCAAGGGCCCAGCCATGTCTGAGATGCCCAACAGAGGGGCAGCCCCTTCCAGGCAGGAGGACAGGTGCCCGGAGCCCCCACCAAGACCCACCCTGAGCTCCGCTAAGGTCCTGGAGGCACTCAGCCACAGTGCGGGATAGAGGAGGTCTACCTGGATGGAGGGAACAAAAGCTCAGTCGGAAGAAGCGACAAGGGCACCAGGTGCTACATGTCTATGCTTCATAACACATGGCACATAATGCATTGCCACCAACAGCTCATCTGAATACACCCCCCACTGATGCTCCCAGCTCTGAGGACTGGAGGCCCCCGGGGATGCTCCGAATGCTGCCTGCCCCCACAGGCTCTCCTGGCAGCTCCTGCAGGCTGGTGCGGGGCACTGTGGCTTTGGGGTGCAGGCAGTGCGTGCTTTCCGAGGAGAATGCTGGCCGCCCCGCCCGGGCCCGCGCCCCCAGCCCCCGGCGCTCCCTCCCGCCACCCCCACCGCAGGAATAGATGCTGCCAGATGAGTAGGAATGACACAGACATGGTTCTGTACAAAACCTGAAATATTTTTACTCTTTTAAAACTTTGATCTAAGATGTCTTAGATCTCATGGACTCGATACAAGAGTAATATGAATTGGGAAATAAAACACTTTAATAGCCACGGTAAACTTTGTTAGAAATGTACATGTTGCCAAATAATAATAATAATAAACTTTAAAAAATAAAAGAGAGAGAGAGAGAACAGCTTGATGGCCGGGTTAGAGTATATAAATGTTCAACGAGGACGGGAAAGGAAGCCTCGTGGACGCCAGGACGGCACAGTGGGCGCAGCCGGCGCCCAGCGAGCTTGCCCGCCAGCCTCGGGGCCGGGCCTCGCAGACTCGGCGCCCAGGGACGGGCATATAAACCAAGCTCATAAGAAATGTACAAATATAAAAAGCTACAAACATTAATAAATTACAGCATCACAAAACACAGAAACACTTCACAAGGTGCTAAGTAAAATAACTGCATCCCCACCCCCTTCGCCAACGAGAAGGAAACAAAGAGCTGGTGTCCGCGTGGAGGCCTCTCCCATTTCGTGCGGCTCGCTGCCGCCCAGACAGAAGGCTCCAGGGACACGTGTTTTTCAGGCAATACCTTAGTTCCTAAAAGAAGAAAGTAACACCAACGAGAACAGTAAACAGAAAGAAGGAGGCAAACCCAAGTGTTCGTCATACTCGGCAAAAAACTCGTATAAATGTTAATGACAGACTCTCTAGAAAGAAATCCCTAAAGATACTTTTACTCTTATAAAAAAGAAGTTATTTAAAAAGCTATTTACACGCTACATTCTATGAAAAATATGCTTCAGGAGATACATCTAAAATTAAAATACAGGATTGCCTGAGAAACAACTCCAGCCCCTCCGTGTCGACGGGCGGACGTTCGGTCCAGGGTCCACCCGGGGACTCGACACCAAACACGGACAGATGACAAGACAGACGTGCCGGGCCCCATGTCCTCGGGCCGCCCCGTCGCCATCCACCCCGCCAGGCGGGGTGCCTCAGCTGAGAAGTGCTTCTCGGAGTGTAGCCCGTGGGGCAGCGTGGGGCCCACCCTCATGGCTTAGCCTGGGCCACCAGGCCCCACATCATGGCTGGGCCCGACCCTTCCGGGGGGACTCCATGACGGTGCCCCCACCCACTAACACACGGACCCCGCTGCCGGCCCCAGCATCCCGAGAAAGGCCCCGGCCATTTGGGGCACGACACCCACCATCCGGCCCGCCACCCGCTGGCCGGGGAGCACAGAGGCCCCTCTCCTGGCCGGGCTGCACACTCTCTGGACTGTCTGAGAATCACTTGGGAACAGTAGGGGGGGCACATAATACCCCATTTTCTCCTCCTCTTCCTCTCTAGTGTTCTTTGCCTTTTTTAAGCCTCTGGAGGCTACCAGCCTGTGGCCAGCTCAGACTCTGGGCCTGGTGAGCATTGGCTCACTCCTTCCTCGAAGGACTCATGCTCCCAGCAGAGCTGCAGAAGCCCTGCGATCACACCCACATCAGGGGTACCCGGAGGCTCTCCTGAAACTGGAATGGTCCTCAACCAGGCAGGGCCGAGTTTCGGGAACTGGTCACTCTAAGCAACTTGAGAAAGGACGTCTGTCCACATTGGTGAGCTCCGCCTGCTGAAGCAACAGATGCTCATATGGGGGGAGTGGTGGCCGGGAGGGGGCCAGGCCCTCCCCGGGGTGAGGCAGCGTGGCCACCCTCCTGGGGGCTGATGTTCTAGCGGGGCTCCGGGGGTCCTGAGCGGAGCAGAAGGATCCTGGCTTTCCAAACTTTAAAGGAGCAGTTTTCCGTTCCGATGAATTTTCAAAATTTTTCCAAGCCTCTGCTTGGCGGTGGCCATGCCCTTCTTTGTACGTTTTCCTGGAGGCAGAGGAGAAGACAGGAAAATGCCAAGTGAGCGAGAGGCCAGAGGAGCCCCTCCTTGAGCCCCCGCCCTCTCCAGAAGGCGGGCCTGTGGGACCTGAGCCCTGGGCCCCCCCAGACCCTGCAAAACCACCAGTGGCCAACGAAGTGCCCTGCTTAGAGGCTGCGGTGACCAGGACGGGGGACAGCATTACTCCAGAGTGAGGCCTGTCCCACCTCCTGGCAGGAGCCACGCTCCTTGTGTCCACGGACGGCTGGGCCTCATGGCCAGGATGCAGGCCGACTGGGGGCCTGGAGGTGAGAGTGGGGGCATCCACGGGACCTAGTTAGCAGTCCCACTGCCAAATCGCCCGGGGGAGCCTGGAACCCCTCGGGCCCCTCCCAGCGAACCCTCAGCAAACTGCTGGCCACACCCCGACTTCAAGCCAGGCCCCAAAGCCGAGGCCACCAGACCAGCCTCAGCACTGTGAGTGACCTTAGCTTTCCATCTTGAAAGGGACTGTTTCTTCCACATGCTGGCCACGTGTGTGGCTACAGACACGGGGCCACGGTGGACGGGGCAGGCCTGCGGGCACCTACGGCACAGTCCCAGAGCAGGGCCGCTCAGGGCACGCGGGCACGGTACCTTTGGCAGCGGCGTTGTTGGGGGATGACGCGGAGGGCCGCCTCTGCGAGAGGAAGACCCCAGGGGCCATGGGCTGGGAGGCACGGCCAGCCTGGGCCCCTGCAAAGGCTCCGGCCGCGGTGTACTCGTGGTCCGCCAGGCTGCTGCTGTGTGCCTCAGGCGGGGGCTCGGGTGAGCTGCCCTCCTGTGAGGCCTGGCTGCTGGCCGTGCTGGTGGAGGCCGGGGTGGTGGAGGCCGGGGTGGTGGAGGCCGGGGTGGTGGAGGCCGAGGTGGTGGAGGCCGAGGTGGTGGAGGCCGAGGTGGTGCTGGTGGAGGCCGAGGGGGAGGGAGTGTTGGGAGCCAGCTTCCTTTTGGTGTTCTTTTTCTTCCTGCTCTTCTGCTCCTCCTTTGAACAAAGCATATGGTCCGGCTTCAGCCACTGAGGAACTGGACTTAGCAGCAGCCCAAGCCCCACCCCCATTCACCATGAACCCCAGAGCAGCGCTGGGGCCTGTGCAAGGACCAGCATGCCCCCTGCGTGAGGGGATGTGGCACGAGCATTCAGCCACAGTGGACACACACCCCCACCTGACTCTGAGCTTCCAGGGGATGTGCTGCCGGCTCCCACCTCCCCAGCCCCCTACTCCCAGGGGTCAGCAATACTCGGATGTCCCCAGGCCTGTGACCGCTCCCAGACTGGGCGGGCTGGGCCCCTCCTCACCTGCTGGGACAGCTTGGCTGCAGCAGCTGCCAGCCCAGTCTCGATGGAAGCCACTCTGGTGCCCTCACGCACAGGCCTGTCCTGCCTTGGCACCGATGGGCCGACCCTCGCTGCAGGAGAGAACACCCGCCTGCTTAGAGCGGCTGCCCAGCCCGAACCCCCCTCCCCAGCCCCCTTGGCCCTGCCCCAGTGTGTGCCCGAGTCTCCGGGACACTTCACAACTCAGGGAGGGTCAGCACGAGCCCCGACGTGAAGGGCCCCCATGCCAGCAAGACGAGAGAGAGCAGGAAGGGGTCACACAGACAGTGGACAAGACCCCCATCCATGGGCTGCCATGACCCGGCCAGGTGCAGAGATGGCCTTCCTAGGGCTGCTCATTCAGGACAAACCAGGTGAGGAACCAGCCCCCGCAGGGAGCCCCCCACTGTCCACCCCACTCGCAGGAGCTGGGGTGCCTTTGGGGGAAAGTGCAGCCCCAGTCAGGCTCCCACAGGCAACCAGCCCCACCAGCGCCCCTCACAGAGCCAGGGGCCGCAGCCTTCAAGCCAGAGGGACGGGCAGGGGACACACTGCCCAGCTCCCAGCACTACCTGTGGGGCTGTAGGGAGCGTCGTCAGAGCCTTTCCTCCGCTTGGACCGGGACTTGAAGACCGGACTGTCCTCGTCAGACTCCAGGGAGGGGTAAACTAGGGGGGCAGGGGAGAAAGGCCTGAGCCAGCGGTGCCATGGGGGGAGCCAGCCGACCTCATGAGCCACTGTCCCTCCTGGCACATACTCGGGCACAGGCGGCCCCAAAACCACCCGGCCGAGGGCCCCCCGAGACCCAGGGAGGGCAGGGACTGGCCAGACAAGAGGCCCCGGCAACCCCCATGGGCACTGCCCCAGCCTGGCTGCAGTGTCCACTGTGCTTCCCAGAACGCCCCCTTCTCTGCTGCTGAGTCCATCAGAGGCTGCCGTCCCAGCGAGTCTCTGAGGAGGGAGCCCCGCCCAGGAGCCCTGGGTGCCTCCCAGGTGCCCCCACTAAGCTGCATCCTTCCATCCGGGGTGCGCCCTGCCCCCCACAGGAGCCCAGAAGAGGCGCTCACTGCTGTCAGTCTGTGTTCACCAGATGGGGCCGGGCCAGCCTCCCCTCGGGAGGGCTCTCCAGGGGTAGGAGTGTGAGCTCGGGGCATCGGGACTGAAGGCAGACCCGGCACCACTGGGGCCAGCACATCCCAGGCCCTGGGGCATCCTACACATCCCTGGGGGGCAGGCCAAGGTGTGCAGGCAGGTGCGCACTCCTGGGCCCCTCCCCCTGGGGCAGCCTGGAGCCCCCGCCGAGGGCACAGTCTGGAGGGCTGTGGTGGGGGGTGAGGGGTCATGCCCTCAGGGTCCCTGTTCTGCCCCCCTCAGATGTGGGCCACTGTGGGCCTCAGTGTTGTTATTCACACAGAGACAGACAGGGTGGATGGGGTCTCAATGTGTCTGAGCGTACGGCCGCATGGGGGATGGCTGGGCCGGTCCTCAGAAGGCAAGACGGGTATGGACCCTCAACCCAGCACACCCCCCCTCCCAGGTCCATGCCCGGGGGCACCACGGCCACGGCCACTACAAAACCCCTGCACCAGTGAGCACAGCAGCAGTGTCCACAGTGGCCAAGAGGAGGAAGCCACCAGGCGACTGCGAGCAGCCGACGGTGAGCATGTGTGCCACTGGCGCTGACTCTGGCTGCGCCGTAACGAGCCCACGAAGGACTGCCTGCACCCAGGACACGATGCACGCAGACGGGGGACTCGGGGGCCAGGGAGGGTTCCCTTCTGGGTGGTGACAATGGCGCACACTCCACTGAGTTACGTGCTTCTGAAGGCGAGCTTTCCTATCTCCTAAAGCAGAGCCAGGGTCTCCACATGAGGACGAGCCCCAGCAGCACTGCGGAGAGGCCCCTCCCAGGGAGGCAGGCCGGAGCCCGCCCGCACCCCCCACAGGGCTCACCGTAGTCTGAGTCCTTGAAGCAGGCGTCCAGGTGGTCCTGCTCCTCCTCGTAATCGTCCAGGTCCACGCTGTTCTTGGCCGCCCTCTTCAGCAGCCGCTTGCCCGCGCTCTTGCCGCCACCCCCGTTCTTCCGGGCACCGTGGGCCGCCAGTGAGCTGCCCTTGGCCTGGCCGGCGCCCCACGTGGTCTGCAGGCAGGAGTCAGAGGCCTGCAGGTTGGCCATGGACAGCATTCCCTGAATGGCTTCCTGCGTGCTGGGGGAGGCCGGGGGCTGGCTGGAGGCACAGAGAGATAGGCACTCAGCCCACACAGCCCATGGCCCACGACCCTCAGCACTTAGCCCATAGCCCACAGCCCATGGTCCACAGCACTCGGCCCACAGCCCATGGCACAAAGCCCATGGCCCAGCCCACAGCCCACAGTCCACAACCCTCAGCACTCAGCCCATTGCCCACAGCCCACGGCCCATGGCACTCAGCCCACAGCCCACAGCCCGTAGCACTCAGTCCATAGCCCACGGTCCAAGGCACTCAGCCCACAGCCCACAGCCCACGGCCCATAGCGCTCAGTCCATAGCCCACGGCCCAAGGCACTCAGCCCACAGCCCACAGCCCATGGCCCATAGCGCTCAGTCCATAGCCCACGGCCCAAGGCACTCAGCCCACAGTGCTTAGTCCACAGCCATGGCACTCAGCTCACAGCCCAGGGCTCACAGCCCAGGCACCCTCCCACCCAGTGGCCAGAAGACAGCATGGGGTGCAGCACAGTGGTAGCTGATGACTCCCACTTAGAAATGGCCAGTTCTCTGTCCCCACACTCTGCAGGGACAGAGCAGAGTGTGGAGAGGGAACACAGGGAGAAGTGAGGGAGAGGAAGGGAGCAGAGAGAGAGGGATGCCCGTTCTTGCCTCTGATCACAACTGCTCCCTCCCACCTGTTCTTTACGCGATGACCACATGTCAGCTCAGCCCCAGCTCAGCTCCTCTCAGTCACCCCACGGATGCCCAGCTTTCCTGAGGCCGCCACCCGCTGACCTGCACCCGCTGCCCTCCAGCACCCGCTGCCCTCCAGCTCCCGGCACTGCCGCCCCCAGTGTCCTGCCACACCCTCTTTGCCTGCCCCATGCCTACCCCCCATCACCTCCTCCCAGCTGCACCGGCTCCCTCCCTCCAGGACCTGCTCTGGCTTCCGAGATACCCAGTGAGGTTGTGCCACTACCTTGGCACCATGTTCTCTGCTGGCCTGGGCTCTGGGAGGGGTAGGCAGCCCTCCCCGCAACCCCCCCCCCCCCCCCGCCCCGTGCACAGCAGGGTCCTGGATATGGCTGGATGGGGAGAGCGCTCAAAGCCCAGGCCTGGGCTCCTCCAGAAGCTTCACTCACCTCCTCATCCCAGTGGACCCTCCCATGGGATCCTGCTGGGCCTCCTCGGGGGACCTCCTCAGCTACCAGCCCAGGCAGATCCCAGTGGCCCTGGACCAGCAGGCGTCTCCCCTTAGGAGCCATTTCTGGCCCTCGTTGTTGCCCATCACCCCAGGCTTTGGGCCATAGGGGACAGCACAGTCCACCCTGGCCTGCAGGGCCCCCAGCCAAACCACTGCATCGGGCACTCCTGGGCTGACCCTCCCTCCACTCCCTGGACCCCCAGGAGACAGGACCAGGAGCCAGGCATGGGGTGAGGGACCCATAGGCTGGCTTAGCTCTCCACCCCATCACAGACCCAGAAGGCCCAGGGAGCGGCCGCAGGGTCTCACCCTGATGTCTGACCTCCAGGCCCCCTCCTGCCTGCCCCATGTGCCCGCAGGGTATGGACCCACCTGTAGGACTACTGTGACCCCAAAGCAGTACCCAAAGTATCAGTCCACACAGGCCCTCCTGGGGGTTCTGCATCATCTGCATCTCACGCCCCTCCCTCCCCACCCCCATCCCCATCCCCACCTCCAGGTGTTTGAAGCACATTTAGTAAGACTGTTTAAATGAAAAGGGGCCGTGCGTCCCCACTCAGAAATGGGAGCTTCCCAAACCTGGGGCTGGAGGGTTGGGGGAGACTGAGTTGGCCCCAGGGAGCAGATACAGAGTGCCCCTGAAGGTCCTGGGGGCCCAGTGAAGCAAGCTTGGTCAGAAGCCGTCCTGCCAGGTCACTGCTGGGCTCCAGGCCAGGGACTCTGGCCCCCCACAGGCAGCCCTCCACAAATACCACCTCCCTGGGCCCTGTCCCAGACACACTGGACCTCAGTGTTCTGGTTTCTGCTGGAATCAAATAGGACTGCAGTTCAAAGCCAAAACCGTGGGAAAATCAGTCTGGCCAGACCCCCTGCATAGTCGGGAGCTCCTGGCCCCTCTGCCCCACTCCTGTGATGCAGCCTGCCCCGTCCATGCTGCACAGGCAAAGGGCTGTCCAGATCTGACCAGAAGCACACAGCGTTATCACTGCTGCACCAGACCACTGACCTGCACAGGAGACAGCAGGAGCCCACGGCTGGCCCAGCACCCGCTACACCCAGCTCTTGGGTGCGGATGTGGCCCCATCAGCCCCGCCCTAAAGGTCTGGGCCTCCTCACCCAGCCTCAAGGCTGGGGAGACACCAGGCTTCCTGCAGGGACAGGAGGGCAGGGGGCCAGGACACCCAGTGCGAGCGTCCCCTGCCCTGGAGCCGGCGTGGTCCCAGCCCAGCTTGGCTGCAGCCGACAAGGAGGCCCATGGAGCCCAGGGCAGCATGCCGCACAGGCCACCGGTCTGTCCACACAGGGCTGGCCAATCAAGAAGCAAAGTCTAACCAGAGCACATGGAAAATAATCTCTTAATCCTCCAATTATCATACCAAAATCCTCTTCTCCCACCCCTAGCGGTAAACACTCAGCAAACCATGCACAAGAAATTAACATATTTCCCTCCATTTTTTTCAGCTGTTTTTTCCCAACAGCGAAAACTTAAAACAGAGCAAATGGACCATCAAAAACTGACCTGCTCTCCAAATGGGAGATTGGGAAGAGGAAGTGCCTGCAGCGGACAGAGGGGGTGGGCCTGGCGGGCACGTGTGCACACATGTGGGTGGGTGTGGGTGCACACGTGCATGGGGCACACGTGCGTGTCTGCAGAGCTGTGAGCAGCGCACCCACACACAGGCCGCCCTCCTCCCCGGGGCTGAGCCCAGGCCGCAGTGCCCGTGTCCCCGCACCTCTCCCGGGACCCTGCCTCCCCGGGGTCTGAACACAAACAGCTAGCTGAGGTGCGGGCTAGGCAGAGTTCCTCCAGAAGAAAGGCACCCCCAAGGCGGTGCGGGGCCAGGGCCACAGCAGCGCCCTCCTGGAAAGGGGGTCACAGTCAGACTGCTCCCAGCAAAGGGGCCTCAGGCCAGGCCCCGCCCAGCACATCTGTGCAATGAGGGGCCCACTCTGCACATCACAGAAACCACTGCGCGCCGAGCAGGAGCGCACACCCAGAGGGCTGCCCACGCAGCCAGCCACGCGCCACGCCCCCAGGGAGAACGCGCCTCCGGCCATCTGTGAACACAACACAGCGCACAGAACAGACGTTCCCGAGAGAAGGTACAGCCATTGGTCAGCAGGAGCCCTTCCCAAGCACGGCCGAATCCACCTCCTCAGCCCCTGTGTGTCTGACACCAGCCAGGTGTGCGGCCTCCTCGCGGGCCCGCACAGCCCTGGGACCTCGATTCTGCAAACACGGTCTTGGAGGCAGACAGAGGGGACCGAGCACCGCACAGGCCGCATGAGCCTTGCCTTCCTCGGGCAGGTCACCCCTGCCTGGGCCGCCTCCCAGCAGCGCAGCCTTGAGCAAGCTGCCCTGCCACAGGAGTCTGCTGCATCCTGAGGACTAGCAGGGCACCAGCCCCCACGGCGGTGGAGGTCCCCCCACTGGGGAGGCTGTGACCCCTTGGTTATCTGTCTGTGGTACTTATGAAAATCCCACTTAAAAAAAAAAATGACCACAAGGCTTAAAAACAAAGTTTAACTGGATGGAGAAAGACTTCAACTGGGACCATCACCAGAGAAACGAGCCGAGGCCCTTCACCCAATAAAGCATGGAGGGGTCAATCCATTTCTCTCACATCGGAGGCCTGGGCCGGGCAGGCCTGGGCAGAAGCAATCTTGCCACCCGGGCCTCCATGGCTGCAGTGAGTGGGCTCCCTGGACGCACATGGGGACTCAGGGACAGTCTGTCTTGGTCCCCGTTCGCCCCCAGTTGGGTGTGGTCACCTGGGAACCTGGCAGATCCAGCCCTTCCTCGACGCTCTTCTGTCCCCAATCTCTGAAGCGACCGTCTCCCTCCCTCGGGGTGAGGTCTCTGCAGCCCTGGGTCCCAAAGACACCAAGTGCCCTTGACCAGGAGGCTGGGCATGTGCCATGGAAAATTTCCTGCGTCACCTTCACAGCATTCGGGGCATGTCTAGAGAAACACAGCTGGACGACACAGCCCGGAACCCAGCCCTGCTCCTCCGCAGGCCCCCAGATGGGGCAGCCCCTCAGACGCTCTCACATGGCCCCACACCCACGGCCGCCCAGCCTCCCCCACGCCTGCCGTCTGGCTGTCCAGGAGCTCTGCACACCCTGGGGGCCAGTGGGACTAGCTCCCACTCAGCTCCCTGGCCAGCCGGCACCCCTCTGCTGAGTGGGTCCTGCCCTGGGCGCCTGACTCTGGACGGGGCCGGGCCCCCACGTACCTGCTGGGGTTGTACTCAAGCGCGCCGACCTCCTCGCTGGCTTGCAGCAGGTCCAGGATGCCCGCGGCAGAGCCCACGCCCTCCTTCTTCCCTTTGGCGTTGCGGGCGGGCTTGGTGTCTGTATCGATGTGCAGCGAGCCCTCGTCCGAGGAGTCGTCACTCTGCTGCGGGGACGAAGCCACAGGTCAGAGGGGGTTTGGTGGAGAGCTACTGTTTCCCTCTGGCCAGAAAAAGCCGTTCCTCACAGTTTATGAAGAGCCAGGCTTTGTAATGAGCACTGCGGGCGGGGCTGGGCGCCGAGGCTTTCCGCCAGGACCATGGGCCTGCCCCAGAGGATGGAGCTGTTGCCACGCCCTGCCGTTTGCCCGTGAGCCCCAGTCCTGACCACAGATATGAGAGGAGCCGTGTGGCTGGGCAGAGAGCCGGTGGGAGCTCATGCCCACGCTCGGGGAGCCCCGTCAGCCCCCGGCTGGTGGCTCCTGGGAGGGAGGTGGCCCAACTTCAGCCTCCACTGCACAGTGCCAGGCCTGGCCCCGCATCCCCCCATTCACTATCTTCATGGCGGGTGGCCACTCACAGAGACCCGCAGACCTCCGCATGCCCCATCTTCATCCCTCCTCCGCGGGGCCCACGGCCAGGACCCAGGCCACCTTCCCCATGAAAACACCCGAGACAAGGTAGAGACGACCCCTTTTGCAGCCCACACGCAAGGCCGTCAGCCAGGTCCCACTGCGAGACAGGACTGCCCGAGACAAGGACGGACACCTGGCTCGGCCTCCTGGGCCCGGCACAGATGCGCTCACCTTATAGAGCGCCGAGTCCAGCTTTGGCTTCGTAGCGGGCGTGGCCAGAGGCTCCTTCCCGTCCAGCAAGACTGAAAGCACAGCAGACGTGCGTCTGGCAGAGGCCTTGGGAGGACGGCCCACTCCCCACCCTCACGCCCTCACTCACAAGACAAATCTCTCTTGGGGGTACTCCTCTTCCTCCTGATGGGAAACTCGTCAATCTTGAGCTCCCCGTCGTCCGACACATACTCGTACTCATCCCGCACCGGCTGGGGCTTGTCCTCCTTGAAGCTCTGCACGGCCCCAAACACGCCTGGGCTGGGCTGCGGCTTGAGGGCCTTGGAGCTGGGGTGGCAGAAGCGGGGCGTTCAGTGCCCCCCTGTACTCCATCCTGGGCCTCAGAGGACCAGCAGCTGGCCACACGCGTCCCCGTCCCGTCCCCGTCCCCCAGGCTCTTCCCGGACGCCGTGGCCCCAGCGAGGACGGCACATGGCCCACGGGGTGGGTGCCCGGCCCCTCCTCGGGCTGTTTGAGGGCGTGCCCCTCACCGCCCCCCACCTTGGGGTCCAGCACCAGCTCGGTTTCAGACGGAGCCAGCACCAATGGACCGGGTTCCCTGCGGAGCTATTTCAGAAAAATAAATTCCGCTATCCTTCAGCTGGGCCTCCCCTCAGGGCAAGGCAGGGTTCTGGCCGTGCCCAGCAATGGGGACAGCATGCGGGGGCAGGGCCGTCATCAGCTTGCACCGGGACAGCTACCACTGCCGGCGGCAGGCAGCCCTGTGGGATGTGGGCGAAGCAGGAGCACACACATCTGTGACATGGTTGGAGTCCTGTCCGCGGCCGCCTCCTCCATCTCCAAAGCCCCCGGGGCCCAGCACCTGAGCTTTGGACCATCACCAGCATGTTCAGGGCCATGAGGTCAGGCACCGGGCCCTCGGACCAGACCCACCCCACCTGCTCGCCGAGCAGCCTCAGCACAACGCCAAGAGTTCTCAAGAGTAAGGCCCCATCATCCCAGGCTCTGCAGGGCCCCAGACGTTGCCCGGCCCCATTTCCCCACCACCTGCAACAAGGGAACTGAAGCCCACGGCAGAATGCTAGCCCCCTTCCCACTGGGATGCGCTGCTTCCTACCAAGGGGCACCCACCCCGACTTCAGATCGAGCAAGCAACTGCAATGAGGGACCACGCTAGTTGGGGCATGTCAGCGGGTGAAGTGTGGCCGGCCTGCCAAGCTGGTTGCCAGACACACACCTGTCCCACGGTCTGGAACCCAGACATGCCCACTTCCACACAAACACCCTCCCAGGCTGGGTGCTCCACCTCTCAGCACAGTGTCACCTCCTCCAGGAAGCCCTCCTGTTTTCCCAGGCCCCAGAAGCCCCACAAATCTTTCCTCCAGAGCCCCCATCTCAGCCATAATTTTAGGTACATTTGAGAATACCGGGTTCACACTGGCCTCTGGGCCCCAAAGCCAGGGCCCTGATCCACCCTACCTCTTTTCTCCCAGCCCAGGACAGCAACTGGGCTACAGCCACCGAGTCATGCTCTTGCCTTCTGCCCCCTCTCCAGCTGTCAGAGCCACCAGCCTGGGAGGTAGGGAAGGGCTCTGCCAGCCCAGGAGGGGGGCCTCACCCGGGGAGCCCTCCACAAAGGCGTGTGTGTGCTGTGTGCGAGCATGTGTGATGGGGGAGGCACGTGTGCATGAGCCTGCACATACCCCAGCAGTCTCTTGTTGAAGGAAAACGAGAACTTGGGGTCCTTGTTCCCTGACAGAGGACACTTCTCCAACTTCTGCTCTTCCTCCATCTTCAGCAGGGAGTCAGGTTTGCTGTTCTGAAAAGCAAACCCAGTACCCTCCTTGAGCCCCACACAGGCAACCAGTGGGCCGAGTGGTTGCGACAGGCCAGCCTCCTCCCTCTGACCACATCATCCAGGAACCCCCCTTCTCGGTAGCCTGGGGCCTGCAAGACACTGTGCAGCTCCAGGGAGTGTGAGTTCAAGCAGGGCCGTCCATTGACTCGGACAGTGGCGCACCCAGCCCCTTCAACCCGTGCCTATGGAAGGCAGCCCCACGGAGGCCACACTTACACCTATACCTTCACCGCCCACCCTGGGGACAGGTGGACACACACCTCCTCCCACACCACCAGGCCCACGCACATCCCCGCACACCTCACCTTGTACTTCCACTTGGCTTCTGACTTGCTCTTAGTTTGCTCTCGGATTTCTAGCCTCTCCACGTCATTCTGCGAGCTGATCGCCTCCTTGTTGGGCACGCTCAGGACACTCTTTGTGGCCTAAGAAACAGCAGTCGTGACCCAGCAGTGGATGTGGGAGGGTGGCGAGGATCCGTGAGGCTACAGGGCAAACCAAGAGCCACACAGCACACAGCCCCTGCCTCCCCGCTGGCTCACATGCAGCAGCCCATCCACTCACCCACCCAC